TTTTAGTCTTCTGTACATGTCGTGAGTAGTGGATATTTTAGTCTTTCGTGCATGTCGTGAGTGGTGGAACGAGGCCCATCATCATACCAGCATGACGAAATCACCGGAAAAAAAAAAAACACGACAGAATAATGAGCACCTTGCTAACCAAAACCCAAATGACGATTTCCCCCCCCGGATATGCAAGCAAAGAGCGAAAAGCGATGAACGGAAAAGACCTACGACCAGGGGGAAAATATATATTTATAAATATATATATATATCTCCCGAAAAAACTACAAAGAGCGAAAATCGGAGCGGAAAAGACCTATGCCCCAGGGCAAGGTCCCACTTGCACAGAGTAGGAGATTTCGGCCGTTGATCTTCGTTATCTACGGTCAGTATCTCTTAATTCGTGCAAGTGGGACCTAGCCCCCGGGCGGGAACAAAAAAGAATGCACAACAGAGTTCTATCGGGAAAAAAAAGAACAGAGTTTAAGACAGAGTTCTTTTTATATATACAATGCGGCGAATAGAGAGCTCAGTAAGCCCATACATAGACACAGAGAACAGACTTCCGTCTTCACTCGGATAGAACGCCCGGTCATTATAGCTTCTCGCTCAGGTCAACTTTCAGTCTAGATACAGCGATAATGACCGGGCGTTCTATTCAGGCGAAGACTAGTGTTTAAGTTGCTCTGCAATGGTGAGGGCAAAAACGGGAAAAAAAAACGAATAGACTGGTATTAGTAAGTAACGAAATGGCCGACAGCGGACACTTGCTTCCCAACCAATCATTCGATGAAAAAATGTAGCCTAAACCGTAGGTGTTCGTATAGTCCCATACATATAGACTATTCCCGTCCTTATCGAGGGAGATATGCTAACCTTCATCGAACAGATTCGATGAGACTTTCATCAATACAAGATAGCCAAATGCCTTGCATGGGTTTTTCTGTCCTCCGTGCATAGAAAAACACTCAGTCCGCACATAGAAATCCTAGTGAGGGTGACAGGATTTGAACCTATGACCCTCTGTGAGCAAACGAGATCAACGTATGACCCTCTGACAGCAAACAAGATCGAACGGCGTAGTTTCAAAGACGGCCACATCCGTCTGTCACTACACGACAAAACCACACACCACACGACAAAACCACACACCACACGACAAAACCACACGGAAAAGGACTATGGGATAAACAAAAAGGGACTACGGCGGCTACGACCAGACACCGGGCGGCGAGGAGGAACGCAAGCGGTGGGCGACAACGAGGAGGCAAAGAAGCACTGGGCGACATCAAGGAATGGAAGTAACAGTGGGCGACGACGAGGGATGGAAGCAGCCGTGGGCGACGACGAGGGATGGAAGCAGCAGTGGGCGACGAGGAGGGATGGAAGCAGCCGTGGCCGACGACGAGGAAAAAAAACAGTTGGGCGACGACGAGGAGGGATGGAAGCAGTGGCCGACGACGAGGAACAAAAGCAGTGGTTGACGACGAGGAATGGAAACAGTAGAATGGGCAACGACCCGGAGGAACGAAAGCAAATGGCTTTTCCAGCTCCGTTTATTACCTCTAAAGAAAAGCGGGCTCCGTTTTCAGCTCCGTCTACGACCCCTAAGCGTCTGCAATAAAGGAGAGAAGGTTACGCTTTCTCCAGCTCCATTATGTTGATAAGTCGACAATCGCGATTGGGCCTCGGTCCACTACTTTCGACATGCACAAAAGACAAAATCAGCGGCGAGGTATCTTTCCATGTTCTAGCGGAAGATTCATTCTCATTGTGCACACTTGGTGAGTGGTGGAGCGAGTATCGTTATGTTTAATAGAAACCAAAAATGACAGCAAATACCTCTCACTCGAATCCGGATGACGACGAGGAATGGAAGCAACAGTGGGCGACGAGGAGGTATGGAAGCAGCAGTGGACGACGAGGAGGTATGGAAGCCGCGGTGGGCCACGACGAGGAGGAATGGAAGCAACAGTGGGTGACGAATGAAAGCAGCAGTGGACGACGATGACGAGGAATGGAAGCCACAGTGGGCGACGAGGAGGTATGGAAGCAGAAGTGGGCGACAACGAGGAACGGAAGCAGCGGTAGGCCATGACGAGGAGGAATGGAAGCAACAGTGGGTGACGAATGGAAGCAACAGTGGGCGACGAGGAATGGAAGCAACAGTGGGCGACGAGGAATGGAAGCAGCAGTGGGCGACGAGGAATGGAAGCAGCAGTGGGCGACGACAAGGAGGAATGTGGTGAGTGACGACGACGAGGAATCGAAGCAACAGTGGGCGACGATGACGAGGAATGGAAGCCACAGTGGGCGACGGCGAGGAGGCATGCTAGAGACGACGAGGAGGAATCGGAGCAACAGTGGGCGACGATGAAGAGCAACGCTGAGCGACGAGGAGGAACGGCAGCGGGAGTGGGCAACGACCAGGAGGAGTGGAAGCAGTGGGCGACGAGCGAATGCTTGGCAGTAGCGCAGAAATTTAGCACTCTGTTTAGAATGATGATACACGACGAGGTGAAGAGCGTATGCTGAGAGCAAGCAGCATTATCTAATACTGTATTCTATCTATGCTAACCAGGTTCAAAGAAGAGGGGGGGGAGGGCGGGGGGGGGGAAGTAAGTAAAGAAGGTAGGGAAGACAGATCTCGCCTAGAAGAGCCGAGGAGAAGAACAGTGAAGCGTGGCCTCAAATGCTGGAAAAGAAGCGACATGCTCATACGACGAGGGAGAGGCGTGAGAGAGAGAGAGAGAAGACATCGTGAGAGGGAGCAAATCAAAGTTTGTTTAACTGGAAGACGTCGACAAGTACGTCGGAATAGAGAAGATTTTAGCGGACTGTATTGACAAGAGAGTGAAAAAAAAGGACAGAGGACCTGTACTGCGGAACAGAAAAGAGAAGCACTTGCACGAAAGAGCCGTTCAAGTGCAATACACCCAATAAAAAGCAGTTTCAAGACACATACCTGCTGTCCTGCAAACCCAGGTTGGAAAAGAGGAACGAAAAATGAAACGAAAGGGCCAACGGATTTGATTAACAGTGTCGACGTCGTCTTCCCCCGAACATAGCACACCCTGATTCTGAATGTATAAAAGCCATCTTTTCGGTTATATGCAGTCAGAATGAGGGTGCGTTGTGTTCGGGGAAAAAACACAGGGGAGAAGACATCGTTCTAACAACTATCGGCGGCATGACAGAGGAACAGACAGCGACGACATCACCTCTCTCTCTCTCTCTCTCTCTCTCTCTCTCTCTCTCTCTCTCTCTCTCTCTCTCTCTCTGTGTGTGTGTGTGTGTGTGTGTTGTCTGCACGTGAGCGAGAGAGAAGAGGAGATCGTCATCGAACACAGACATCAGCTATAAGTTAGGTTCAACGAAACAAAACTATCTCCTACACGGATCATATTGGTCAAATGACATAAAAAGAAATAGATGCTCAATGAGCAGGCCGGAAGAAGAATACACCGTCGGGGGGGAGGACAGGAAGCAGCATCAAAGGATCTCACCCAAACAACCGAGTCAATCCACCTGACCCAAAACAAACGACTCAATCCACCTTACCCAAAAAAACGAGTCAATGCATCTCAGCCGAAAAAGCGAGTCAATGCATCTCAGCCGAAAAAGCGAGTCAATGCAGCCGCCAAAACAAAATAATCACAGAAACTCAGCCACGAAGGAACTGCTGGAAAATGGCGGGACGGTTTTTCAGAAAAAGAGAGCACGCTCAGCACGCGTTTTTTAAACCCTGCGCTATAGGAAACCTTCCATTTGGCCCCAGAAATGATGGCAAATGGACATGGAAGAAACCGAAAACCAGTGGGAGAAGGGAGGGGGGAGGGGGAGAAGGGCGGGAAACGGGCCAGGCATGGAAAAGGAGGTCGGGGGAAACAGCAGCGATCCTGCTTTCAAAATCGCCAAAAAGAAGAAAAAAAAAAACTCGGAACGAAATGAAAGAGAGAGAAAGAGAGAGAAAAGAGGGACGATCGAACGACACTTGAACCTGAGAAGAGAGAGGAGAAAATGCAGTAGTCGTGAGAATAGAAGAAAATGACCAGCGGAACCAAATGCAGAGCCTACGCTCGATAAAACCTTTCCTCTCCATATAGCCCTACCGAAACATGCAAAAAGAGCTCAAGAGTGAAGACGAAAGACAATGGCAGAGAGGAAGACATTAACGACTCCTGCAGGGGAGCGACTAGATCACCAGTGCGAGTAGAGCAGCTCGAACCTCCACAGATCTCAAAGAGATCTTTCTATCCCTAATACACAAATAACTGACCACAAAAAACTCGCCCATGATCACACAATTTCAACCATACATTGAATCCAGACATTGAATGAAAAAAGGCATATGGTCAATTCAAGGGCGGAAGTCGCAAATACAGGAATGAGACATTACGTCTCAGTCCCGAAAACTACCCAAGTACCTCTCTCTCTCTCTCTCTCTCTCTCTCTCTCTCTCTCTCTCTCTCTCTCTCTCTCTCTCTCTCTCTCTCTCTCTCTCTCTCT